TAGGGGATAAAGAAGGTTCAGAGTGTCCTTTGTGCACTGCTGTTTATCAACTCCTTTTAATTCAAAATAATCAATATGCCAAAGTGGCGTATTTAGGGTTTTCATATTCTGACCCCCTGCAATGCTGAGTGCCAGGTTTGAATTCGAAGAGCCAAGCAGAATTCCAGGAAGGTTGGAGGCTGGGATATCGGTGGGCAGCAGAGGGAAGCTGACATTTCATCACAGCGAGCTCACGTGGAAATGTCAGGATGGGGAGAAGGAGTGCCTCATGGAGCAGATCAACTCTCCTCTTACAGGTCTGTTGAATGTACCAAGGGTTCTCATGGGTGTGAGCAGAGGCGCTTCGGATTTCTTGCCTCAAGCTCGGGAGCTTATAAAGAGGATCCACTCCTTCTGGCAGTTGCTAGTAGAGGACTGGGAATCTAATTTCCCTATTCTTTCTAACAATGGTGAAACTAATTTATTTATCCACTAAACTAATTTCTTTATACCCTCACTATTATTTCAAAAAGGACTTAAGATCCCTTAGCTTGGAACGAGGAGATCAGGAGACTTTGATTTTTCTTCCCTCTCTGCCAGGTTGCTGCATCTCTTTGTGTCTGTTTCCCATCTGTGAGAGCAAACACTTCTGAGTGGTTAGTATACACACCGGGCACTGTTATAGAGACTTTCCATGTGTCTGTATTAATTCACTTAATTCTCTCCCAAACAACTGACTACATTATGTATCTTTTTGGAATTTGTCAGTGCAGTTCCAGTACATTTGTGAATACACGGAGGATGACTTCTGTGGCTTTTGCCATTTCAAAGAATCTTGGATTTTTCTCTTGGCTCCAGAGGAAAATAATACCCCAATTTGAACAGTGCTAATGGGGACCTTGTCTTTGAGCTTGACTTTCAACCAGACCCAGGCTGGAGAGAAAGGAAGTCTGCAGGATAGGGGGCCTGGGGCCGCGCCTATGGAGATGGGAACAGCCAAAGCCTGTCTGCCCCTTGGAAAATCTCTTTGGTGGCTTGGCCCTGTGGGGTCGTTATCCCTTCCTGGTTGGGGGTTGTTAGGGATACAACCCCTCCCCAGTCAGGATGGCAGTCAGAGAACCCCTCCTAGCCTCTGTCTGCCCATCCAAGGTCCAGCTGTGACCCTGACGCTTATTTTTCATCCTGGGAAATCCCCTTCCTGTGGGTCAAGGGCGGTCCTGCCTCATCCCACCCCCACGAGGTACCCCTCCCTACCCGGGCTGAGTCCGGGTTCGAGCCGCCAGCGTCCCCGGGAGTGAAGGTGGAGGCGGAGGAAGCCAGCCGGTGGAGCGCTGGGTTGGGTGCGGGGCGGTTCCCACCCAGTGGCCAGGCTCCGCCTTCTCCAGAGATGGTCGGCAAAGTGCACAGCCCGCTGCGCTGTGCGGGTAGAGAGTGAGGTTGAGTGTGAATGCGCACGAGTGCGTGTGTGTCTGTGGTCTCGGCGTCTGTGTCATTGTGTGTTTACATAGAGTAATTGTGTGTGTATCTTCGGTCTCTGTGTCTGAGTACTTGTGCGGGAGTGTGTGACTTCGTGCGTCATTGTGTGTGTCAATTTACCCGAATGCGTGTGTGTGTGTGTGAACGTGCATGCTAGTGTATGTTTTTGTGAGTGTGTCTGTGTGTGACATCCGGGGATGGGATACGGAGGGGGATCCTCCCATCCTGAACCCCCTCTCTCTTCTCCTCGAGGTGGCCGGGGCGCCCAGAACCCCGGCCCTGACAGGGGTGCTGGGGTTGGCGACGCAGAGTTCACCGAGGGTCCCGCGACCTCCCGCGGCCGGGCCGCCTGGTCTGCGCATCCCAGGCTTCTTCAACATTCCCGGGAGCTCCTGGCCGAGTTTTTCTCCTGCCCTCTTCGCAGGCTCTAGGCGACGCTGGGGCGGAGGGAGGCTCTTTGGGCCGGATGGGCGGGCCCTGCCTTGGGCGCCTCACCTGGAACACTGGCTGGAGGCGGAGACGTGCGGAGCAGTTGGGACCACCGAGGGCTGTGCCTCAGGCCACTTTGTTCTGCCCCACGTCTGCCCCGCTCGGGTGGGGTCACTCTGGGGTCACTCTGAACCTCGCACTCCCCTCCTCCTCTTGCGCTCCACTGTGACACAGGTTGAAGTCCGGCTGTGGACCCGAAGGAACATTCGAGGGGACCTGGGACGTTGCAGGGCAAGAAGCGTGTGGGCCCGGTAACAGTCCGAAGTGCTTCCAAAGCTAGCTCTGCTGCTAAGAGGCTGTGGGATTGGGTGCGGACGTGTGTGTGTCTGTGTGTGTGTGAGTTCCTTGCCCTCTGAGCTTCGGCTTCATTTACAACCCAAGGGAGAACAATACCCACTTTACAGTGTGATGCCTGGATGAAAACTGGAGCAAAGTGCAGGGGGATGACCGCGCTATCGCACGCACGCTATGCCAGCACGCATAGTTCATTGTAATGAATAGGTGTATCGTGAAAGCCCCGGGTTAACCCATTTATTTTCTAAATCCGACATGTGAGGTAAACTCCGATGGAGAGAGAGGCCCAGCGGCTGGGGAACAGCCCGCACACTGGATTTGAGCACAGAGCCAGGGCTGGCCAGTTACTCGGGTGACCCCGGCTCCTGACAAGTGACACTGGTCCCTTGCCCCGCCCTTTCTGGTGATTCCCTGGGAACCCGGGAGAGGAAAGCAGTTAGGCGGACGACCGGCCCTGGCTCACTTGGCAGGTGGCATTTTCTATCCTCTGGTTACAAGGCCGAAGGGGGGCCAAGGCCAGCGTGCGCAAGCCGTCCGGGGTCCAGCGGCGGCTGAGGTTCCCGACTCCATGCGCAACCCCACCCGCCAGCAGGGAGCAGCGGGGGTCCGGGAGGATTTGCAGCGGCGTCCACGAGGTGCGCAGCAGACGCCTGCTCTCCAGAGCTTCGCCTGGCTGGGGCTGTGAGAATTTGCCGACGGTGCCCGCGCCGCCGCTGGCCCCGCCCCAGCCCAGGGGACGCCCCGCCCCCTGGCCCTGCCCGCGTCGGCCTGTTGTCCGGGCCCCGCCCAGGACCGCGCCCCTCCGCGGATGCCCCGCTCACCCGCTCCGCACCGCGGACCTGCCCTCAGGCCCCCGGGGCTCCGCGCCGCCGCCCAGAGGCTCGCGCCCTCCCGTCGCTCCGGGACCCGCCCGCCGCGTCCCCTGGGCAACCGTCTCCAGGGAGACCGGGCCCCGCCCCCGGCATCGACACCCGGTACGGAGCCCACCTGTGCGGGCGTCTGCGGGGTCCCAGTGCCCCCCCACAGCGCACGCCCCGCCACGCCCCGCCACGCCCCGCCCAGCGCCGGGCTTTGTCCGCCTGGGGAGATCCGGGGAACGGGGGCGCGTGGGGTCTGGAGGAGGAGGCGCGTTCCCGGGGCGGACCGAACCCCGTTGGGGAGGCCGAGGCAGCGGGCCGCTCTCGCGTTGTGATTCTCTGGTGTGGGCTGATTCATACCCTCCTTTTCTGATCTCATTGCATCCCTTTTATGCCTCCGTGGGGCCAGGAATCCGGGGTGTCCCGCTTCCGCCCTAGATGGGAATGAGCAGGGCCCTCAGCCGGGCTCCGGACGAGGACGCGCGCCTGTTCGGGGAGAGCTGTTTACTTGTCAGGGACCGAGCAGTTGCCGCGCGCGCCCTCCCCTCCCCCTGCCCCCGATTCGGGACCGAGCATCCTGCGCTCTGGCCATTCCTAGCGTTGCCTCCCAAAGCTTTGCCCTTGAACCCAGAGGGCTAGAGGGCGGTAGACCCAGCTCCTGAGGTCCCGGCCAGCGTGAGGGCCAGAGCAAAAGACGTCCTCCCTCGCCCGCTCTTGTGAATTCTGTCCCGGCTCCGTATTTCCTGACCTGAATTCCTAAGGACTAATTTTTCTCTTATTTTTCATTCTCTCGGCTCCATCACTTTTTTTGCTTCGTCTTTCCTCGTTTCGAAAGTGCTTTCTCTACGATCCTGTCTCATTTCCCTGTGACTGAGCTGTTGTTTTTTGTCCTCTTGTTAATTAACTCCCTTGGTCAGAATGGAAGTTATTTCTTTCTTAGCTCTTGTCGCTGACCTCCCGTTTCTCTGGTGACAGTGCTTTGGGAAGTGCCTTGCCATCCTCTCACCTGGATGCTAAATGGAGAGACCATCCAAGCCCATGTTCCTGGGCTCCTGCAGCAGGGTCCATGGGGTATCCTTCCAGGGATTAGGCCGGCAGCCGGGAGAATTCCAGCTTGGACCTTGGGAAATGTCTTCTTGGAATGACACCTTTTCCAACGGCTTCCTAGGACTGGGCTTTTTGTCTCATGGAGAAACCAGTGGTTTAGGTTTCCTGGTCTTCAGGAGCCCAGTGGGTTCCAGGCAGGAGACTCCTGCTGTGCAGGTAGCTGGGGGGAAGTTGGGAGGGTGGCAGGTCCTGCTGCTGGAACCCAGCCGCCTGGGCTCCCAGAACTCAGATGTCTTTCTGTCTCTGGGGTCAGATTATTTCCAGGAGCCGCCCACAGTAGGGAAAGAAGCACCACAGATGCAGTGAGTGGGCCGACCCCTCCCCACACACCCTTCCTTTTCATCTCCAGCAAGCAGGGATGAATCTTCCTTTATGATGCAATTTGGGTCTTGAATGGGGACCTCAAGTTCACAGACCTGCTTTTTGCAGCCATTGAATGGAACTTGAACCCAGGCTTGACTCAGATCACTTACTTTGCTTTCAAAAACCAAACAAAACAACAAACAACTCTAAAAATGGTCTGAGTCATCTGTATGTATATGAATTCCTGCCAGGCACTGGAAATGTTCCTGTGGTTTGCTTCAGTACCACCAAAGGGAGCTGGGGGTGGCATTGACACAGATGGTGAAAAAGGCCCATTAAGTACAATGTGACTGGTTTGCAAAAAGGAAACCTTGGTGAGACAGTTGCTTTTGAGCTAAAGTCCTCTAAGAGAATGCACAGAAGTTTTCTGAGACTTTCTCTTTTTAAAGATTTCTTTCTTTCTCTTTCTTTTTCTTTTCTTTTCTTTTTTTTCAGACAGATAAGGAGCTCAGAGTCAGGCAAGGGCGGAATGATGCTCATTGACCCCAAAGCATCTTTAATCTGCCAGGCAGAGGGACCTTTGCTGCTGGTCTTTCTTGGACCATTCCAGAGAGGTAGGTTGGGCAAAGGAAACAGGTTGGGGGGGGGGGGAAGAGGAGATGTTATTTTGTAGATAGGTTAAGAATTTGAATGGAATCCACCCTCCCTGACTATCTAGCCAAAGGAGAACTTCTCTTTAGGACTAGAATGCTAAAAGGAAGAGAGTGACCCAAATTTGTGCTCAGAGCCTATGAAGGGGGATGTGAACTAGACCCCAGCCAGCTTCCCAAGAGAGGGATGCTGCTACCTGGGAAGGAAGGGATGGCTGTGCTCCGAGGAGCCCTGGAACCCATTGTTAAACCGCAGCATTTGGTATTTGACTTGCTGCGTGCATGATAGAGCTGGGCTGACCTATCTGGTGCGAGAAAAATTAAAACCTTCTTCCGAAGGAAGTGGATTGGATTTTCGTAACTTGATATTGCTTCTCAAGGAGTCCTTAGGTGGGGACATTCTGTTTTTCTAGAGAGTTGGCAGTCACTGGATCAGTAAGAGGATGCTCCTTGGAACTTCTGGGACATTAGCTTGCAAGCTGAATGTCGTCCCTTCATTGTGCAAATGAAGAAATTGAGGTCAGAGACTGACACTGACCGAGCCTTGGCTGAACACCTGCCTTTGGTATCTGGGGGTAGCTGGGTGTGATTAGCAAGTGTGCAGATTTGTCCCGTTTGCAAGCTGTGTGGGTACATATGTATTCTGTGGGTGCACAGCACCATCTTCCTTATACAGTTGCTCGAGCAGCTACTGTCATTTCTGATGGTTCACGTAGGGCACGAGGTTACCTGATGTCATCCTTGGAGGCTTTTCCCCACCCCACCTCATTTTTTCTAGGTGTTCATCGGTACTTTCCAAACTTCTTTGTTAGTGTGGACCTCTTGAAAAAGATCAAAGTACTAAGCAGAATTTTAACCTCTAAAGCAGATTAAAAGAGTGCCACTGTGGTACAAGTAGAGACTGGCCCAGAACTCCTCCCACTGAGCAGCTGTCCTACTCCTGCCACCCTCTGAAGGCCTTGGGGTGCTTCTGTGGAACCCCAGGACTCCCTGGCACATAGGCGAAAACCATGGATTATGTAGACCTGTGTAGAGGAATTAGTTTCTTTCTCTGCTACACAGCTGTTTACACTGTCTTGATTTGTGTTTCAGAAGATGCCTTTAAATCATGATTTTTAACCCTCCTACTTTTTGATTTGTAAAGGATACCTATTTACTGTCGAAAGTTTACAAAATACAAAAAAATTACAAGCATCACTCTTCTATAATCCTACCCCCCTCCCAAAAAAACCACTGTTTCCTTGTTGGAGTATCCTCCCTGGAGAGTCTTCTGTGTGTGTATCTTTGGAAACTTGATTTTTATTTCTTGGTAAATATTATCATGAACTTCCACAAAAACATAACTGAATGCATGTGTTTATCTCTGCTCTGTTTCAAAAGCCCACTAAAATGAGAGTAGAGGAATAAAAAGGTATAAATCCTTAAGAAAACAGAAAATGATGATAGAGGGGGAGGGATATGAGCAAAATTTTTGAAAGATGGGAAGCAAGTGGGTGAAAGAAAAGCAAAGCTTAGAATGTTGAATGTCCTGGCTGTGAGGGAAGCAAGCTGGCTTGTACACACGACCCACCAAAGGCTAAAGAATGGGGGCCACAGAGTGTTCCCAACGATGGGGGCGGGGAGCGGGGCTGGAAGCAGGAATATTGGTTTAAAGTGTGTGTTAGAGCCACAGACCCCTCTCTCAGGCCACGTAGCCAGGCAGCTCCCTCCTCCACCAGCAGAAGATGGCTAGTTTCCTGCAGGCAGCATTGAACCAGAGCAGCAGAAGGCAGGGGAGGCTCTATATTGAGAACAGGAAGATTCAGTGAAAGTTTGCATGCTGAATAGATAGACCCTCTCCTAGCTGGTTCCCGGAACATGGCAGCCTGGCTTCTACCCATCCTCCAGGCAGGGGCCTTGAACTTCTCTCTAAGGAACCCAACCTCATACGAAAAAACGCTACTTCTCAGCGACACCTACCAGGCAACCGGCCCTGCACAAGCACCTTTCAGTGCCTCTCTCTTAAATTTGAATGGGCAGCCTGGATCATCACACACCGAATGAGTCCTCTAACATGAAAGGCAGAGACCCAGAAGTCATAAACATGGTTGTTTTAAAAAAAGGCATATTTATAAAACAATAATAAGCTCTTGGATATCAAAACTAGGATAGTAGAAGTAGAAACTTCAATAGAATAAAGTTAGAAGATTGAACAATGAATTTCTAGAAAGTAAGACAGAAAGACTTGAGGGACGGAAAATAAGAAAGAAGATAAGAAAATTTGAGCAGTTTGGGAGGCCCAGTATCCATCTCATAGGAGAGAAATGGAGAAGGAAAAGTTATTAAACTCCAGGAAAAAAAAAAAATCTAGAACTCAAGAGTTTGCATTAAGAATCTCTGTGTAGCACTCAGCCCAACAAATAATGAGATACAGTATATCAGGGACTTACCCGCTGGTCCAGTGGTAAAGAATCTGCCTTCCAATGCAGGGGACGTGGGTTCAATCCCTGGTCAGGGAACTAAGATCCCACATGCCGCGGGGCAACTAAGCACACGCACCACAACTACTGAGCCCGTGTGCTTCAACTAGAGTGCCCGCGTGCCGCAACTACAGAGCCCACGCGCTCTGGAGCCCACGTGCCACAACTAGAGAGAGAAAACCCACACGCTACAACTAGAGAGAAGCCCATGCACCACAACGAAGAGCCTGCGCACCGCAACAAAAAGATCCTGCGTGCCTCAATGAAGACCCGATGCAGCCAAAAATAAAAATAAATAAATATATTTTTTAAAAAAGATACACTACATCAAAGTAAAAGATGTTCTATGGGACGTCAACATGAACTTCCAAAAGTCCAGAGATAGAAGTTACTAAAAGCCAGTGCAGGGAAAAGGGGCCACGTACAGAAGATCAGAGCACGAAATGGCATTGGACTTTACAAAATCAATACCAGGAGCTACAAGACAGTGGAGCAACTCTTTCAAATTTCTGAGGGAAATTAATTCCCAACCCAGAATTCTGTAATCATCATTCAAGCAAAATAATAGAATGAAGACCTTTTTCAGACATGTAATTTTTCAAAAACTTCACACACACACACACACCCCCTTTGTATCCCTTTTCAAGGAAGCTACTAGAGGATGTGCTGTACTAAAATGAGAGAGTAAACCAAGAAAGAGGAACGAGTGGTACAATATGCAGTTGTCTCTTGTTTCTCACTTGGCTCAGCCACCAGATGACTTTCTGTATTTCAGCTGTTGCTATCTTTGAGCCTTGGGAGTGGGGAGGGAAAAAAACACCTACCCCACCATGGGAACTGGAAAGTACTCTCTTCCAAGCCTCCCCTGCAGCCAGCACCTGTGATGTGGGCTCCACTGATGAAATGTACCTATGTTATATTTTGACAGAGAAGAAAGGGATGAAACGTGTGTTGTTTCCATGGTTATGGTGGTGATAGCGGGGATGGGCTTCAAGGTTGAGTTCTTGGCGCAGAAGAGGCAGGGGTACAAAGTAGCACCAGGTACTCAGTGGCAATACCAGCAATTTTGCCATCAGACATGATTCTGTATCATGGAGTCCACATGGTGTACTACAGTTATATTTCCTTTCTTGTTCAACTTTCTGTTTTTCCTGCAGTTGATAGTTGCCTCATGTTTTTATTTGCTTTGTTTGTTGCCTCATATTTTTATTTGCTTTGTTTTCAATGTACTAATCACTAATTCTTCCTCAAACTCTCCAACAGAACTATTAAACCCCTCACAATGCAGCAGATATGTCAGATAACCTGTCAGCTCCTTCCCTGCTTAATCAGTGAGAGTCAGCTTCTTTACTTGCAACCAAGAGCTCTGACTGGTGGAGAGAAGGTGAAGGGAATTCCCATAATGATAGTGAAAAGAAGTTCCAGTATCATAGTTGTGCAGCTGGTCTAGAGAGCAGCCAGCCCAATTTGGAGCAAGACGGCTGAGGGCCCCAGGAGGAATCTCTAAGAAAAAAATGGAGCTGATGGATTATCTGACGTATTTGCTGTATTATAAGGATTTTGTAGTGCTGTTAGAGAGTTTGAGGAAGAATTACATATTCACACATAGAAAACAAAGAAAATTAAAAACGAGGCAACTGTAGGAGTAACAAAAAGTTGAACAAGAAAGGAAACCATAGTATAGGATGTGGCTTAGCTTTGAACAATATTTACATAGTTATAATAATGGAAGAACTAAAGTTTGATTAACAGAAAGTGATCACATAACTATATCCAGGTAATGGGGGAGAGGATCCATGCATGTGTGTATGTGAAGGAAAGCACAAACTCATCTTCTCAGGTAAAAAGTTAAAAGTTGAAGATCAAGAAATATCAGTATAAACCTGTTATTTAGAAATGCAGAGATAAATGCCAAAAGATACAACTGAAATTGGGGGTGGTTTGTTTGGATATGGAGGTCAAGGGACTGCTAATTTTTTGCTGCAAGCATTTTAGTTTTAATTAATTTTTAAAATTATGTGCTTGCAAAACTTTCACAGATATTAAAATTTAAAAGTCATTAGTATGATGGCCACATCCACCCATAATATAGCTGTTTTCATTTTCTCTATGCTTTCTGAAATGTTTTGTCCACAAACACATGTTGCCATGATAAATATATGTGCATTATTGGTTTCATTTAATGTGGGGAGTATTTGCAGTGCCGTGTCATTCTAATGACTACATTCACTCTTGTTGTTTGTGTTATCATTTACTTAGACATTTCTTTATTATTTTTGATTTATGCGTTTCACAGACAATACTACAATCAATATCTTTGTGCATATAGCTTTTCCTTTTTCACTTTTGAATTGCTTCCTTAAGACAGTTTCCAGATTCCCCAAATTACCAGATATGAGACCATGGATCTCTCTCTTGATTTTGCTGTGTAGTATTGAGGGACCCAGCATGGTTGCAGGCCCAAGGCCCCCCTGGGTGCACCATGAACTGAGCATCATAGGAGATCATTGGGATAGAACTTTTTGTAGGGTAGTTGGCTCATTTTTTTTTTTCTGATGGCAGTAGCAGGAGTCAGTCTCTCTCTCTCTCTTTTTTTCCCATATAGAACAGAATTTCCAAAGACCTACACGTCTCCTTCTCTGACGTCTGTCTTGGTTTTCCCCCACTGAGGATTTTTTTCCTTTTTAAAATATTCAAATTAGAAGTTACTGTCCTGTTGAATAATATGGACTCAAAGGAGACACATTTAAAATGGGAGAGAGTGGAAAAAAAAAAAAGAAGTGAGGGAGGCAGAAGTGGGTAGACTAGGAAACCAGGGAGTAAGGTAGTTCATGTCCTCAGCTTACCTTCCGAGCAGACACTGGGATGCCTTCTTCTGCACGGTGTCACGTGACTTTGTTATTTTGTCCAATCCCATCCTTCACCCCTCTGACCTCTTTTTCTCCAGGTGGCAGGAGGTGGGGTGTCAGACAGCCCTCCAAACAAGCCCATCCTTCCTCTTCCTGGGGTGGTCTTCAGGATGTCCTACTTGCCTGGACTAAAACAAAAACAAACAAAAAAAAGAAACCATTTGTATCTTGGAAGAATAGCACATCTATCCTAAAACTGTACCTGTTGAGGGCCCTGGGCCATGCATTTCCCTCTGGCCTATGGCTTCATTCTCTTCAAGAAGGTGAAGGCTGCAGGCTTCAAGGCTGGGCTGCTGGGATGCCTGTTCCTCAGCTCCTTAAGAGCAGAGGATTGGGGTGTTTCGTGGCCTGTAGGGCCCAACGCCTTCCCTCATTCATCTGCTCTGCCAGCTCTGACCTGGGGCCCTGGCCTCATTACTTTCCCCGCTCCATTCTTGCCTCCCTTCCTTCCATTTTCCTCACAGCAGCCAAAGCAGTCTTCTTCGTAAAGCGTAAAATCAGGCCATCTCCGTCCCCTGCTTAAAACCCCCCAGTGACTTCCCACTGCAGTGGTGACAAAGCCTGGCTCCTCATGGAGGCTCCAAGGCCCTGCAGGATCAGCCACATTGTCTCTCCCCAGTCTCCCCTTCTGCTGTGACTCCCATTACCTGGTCTTCTGCCTCAGGGCCTTTGCACTTCCCGTTCCAGCTGCCTGGAACCCTATTTCATAGATCTTTCCTGGATCCTTCTCGTCATTTGAGCCTCATCTGCAATATCTCACCTGAGGACCCTTACCTGACCTGCCATCCAAAGGAGATGCTCCCTGCAAACCTGTTTTATCACATTCTAATCCTATACTCTCTGAAATCATCTTGTTTATTCAGTTGTTTCTTTCTTTCTTTTTTTTTTTTTTTTTTTTTTGTCTTTTCCCGTCAGACTAAAAACTCTGTAAGAGCAGGGATGGTGCCTGTCCCATTCCCTGATGGACACATAGAAGGCGATCAAATCAATATTTGCTGAATGAATGAATGAGCGAGTGAATGAATGAATAGGACTTGGGACCTTCAGCCTTCTGGGTCAAGGAGGGGCCCCTCATTCTTTTTCCTGAGGGTCTCCAGGAGGATGTGGTGGTTGAAGGATCTCCTGGCAGCCAGAGCAGGGTGGTGGTTTCTGGAAAGCTCCTTCGGGGTAAACATCCAGGAGATTCACCAGGTGGTGGCCCTCCAGGTAAAGCATCTTCCGCTCTGCTTCTGAAGCGCTCACTTGCTCTCACTTTCCATGTAAGTTGGGCAACAGGAAAAGCGTTCATTTCATTCTCCGTGGGAGACTGACTGGAAACAGCACTTGATTAGAAGGACTTTTTGAGGCCGAGAAGTCCTGGAAACAAACCCGGGTCAAGGGGCCCAGTGTGAACTCTGCTCTGTTCAGCGTGATGTGGAAGGCCGGCCCCTGTGGCCCCCTGCCCCTTGTCATGTGGCTGCTGGTCTCGCATCCTCCCAGCATGGGTGGACGGTAAATACTTAGACTGTGTGCGTAACTACCTTCTACAACTTTCTGTGACTGAGGCTCCTTCCCTTGGGCTAACTAGGTTGTAACTTTGGGCTCTGAAATCCAGGCATTGGACAGATGTTTTGTCCTCAGGTTAAGGACATGAACATCTCTCTCTATACAGGTTCATAGGAGCCGTCCAGGGGGACCTCTAGACTCTTGCTTTAGAATAACATCTGAAGTGTACAGGGCATGTTTTGCCCAGGGCATCCCCTCAGGGAGGAGGATGTTTATGCTCAGACAAGCAAGACACAACTTCCCTTCTTTTCTCACAGCCTGTCCCCTGCTGACAGTGACTCACGTGTTCCCTTGGGAAGCTGTTCCCCAGGGTATGTGATTGTTCCCCAGGCACCAAAAAGCCTGTCTTTACATTGACAAAGGCTGGGCAGCATCTCCCGGTCAGTGTGTCAACCACATTGGTGACGGCCACTGGAAGGAGGCAGAAGTCTAACAAGACTCGGGAGACGCCAGCTCAGAGCCCCAAAATGGTGGAGTTTCAACAGGAATGAAAGGGATCCTTCGGCAGTCCTGAGCTTGGGACAAGCCATCAGGCGGCTGGTCTGCCAGCCCAGGGGGACTATGTGGGCTGCAAGGTCACTCCTAGTCCCGAAGAAGCATTTGTGGGATTCTACATC